CCGATAGTTAGGCTGTCATCTAATGAATCAATCAAATTTAGTGGCAGCAGTGAAGTCCACCACCTTGAAAGCCGGGCTTATGTACGGTCAGAAACCTTGGGCAGTTTCAGCAGTGATAAGTTACCACTAGTTCACTCGTTGGTCATCGATCACCGCTTGCAGACATCTGTGTGGCTTTCTCGATGTACTGGGCTGTCTAAATTCTACATAATAACTTTTTTCAGTGTATGGAATGTGGAACATGATTTCTCTTTGCGGATGATATGATATTTTGTTACTGTTTTACTCTGTAGATGGACCGAGCTTGGTCCAAAATGTGAGATGATTAAAAGAATATTTTATGCTTCCTCCCGTCTGTGACATACCGGAACATCAAGTCCATTGTATATTGTGAAATGCTTATTTTCATGTCTCAACGGATTTTTTTTGGTACGTGGCAGGCTGCAGTTCACTCAGTCATGCATTCTGTACAACTAACATAAAATTTTGGATTTGCTTGATACCTTCTTAGTCTTCCGTTGAAATTGTCTTCCCAATAATCGGTGGTTAGTGCCAGTAGAGGAGAGCTACGTTCAGCCAAGTGTTCCCGGATTTCAAGAACATCTGCTATTAAAACAGAGCTAAAAGCATGAGGCATTTCGATGTGCATGCATATGTTTGTTAATCATTGTAAACTCTTAAGCTTTGCATTGTAGACATTGACCCTCATGACAGAACAAAAAGCATCCTCAGCGTTGTTCTGGGGAAGGTTGTTTTGCAAATGTTCAAGTTGGCTTTGTCAAGGTTGCAAAATAATTTGCTGAATTCGAATGTAGCTTTTAATGTTCGAATTATTCATCCATCGCTATATTCTGATTTATCTTATGGAAACGCTTAATGCTCTTAGCGTAAGCATGCACAGTTAAAAGCTGAGTGAATGATGAAGGTCAAACTGATCGTGGCGTCGATTTTGTATGATTGCTCTATTTGACTTTACATTTCACCCTAGCGCATCGTAGAATAATAGTGACAGTCACCAGTGTTACACTAACTTGAAACAAGTGTTAGGCAGGTGGTAAGAAAACAAATGGTAAAATGTAACATAAATAACTGAAAAAATTTTCAATGATGATCTGATAAAATCTTGATGCCGGAGTACCCCTTATAACTTATATGGAACGCATTTGTACATAATCACAAAACACGTATTTATGCACAACAAAAACAATTTTCTAAATCGTATGATTGACCAGTACGAACGTTTCGACCAGTGGCTCGTAAGGCTTCTTTAAGTTGGATTAGTTAGCTTCGAGAGTCCTATTTGTCGTTCGCTGCACTGTTCAGACCCCGAAGGCCTTATAGGCATCAGTTGTGGTCAACCATCCGATTGAAGGAATTGTTTGTGCTGTGTATAAATAAATTCTTCTTAGGCCGTTTTCACTATGACCACTAGCGCAAGAACAAAATGATTAATCTTGATTGTAAATTTCACAATTCCGTCGCTCTTGGAGGAATAAGTCATGGTTCCCGATACGTATATTCTTGATTTGTATTTTGATAGGCAGCTATGCACAGGCGAATTTCGCAAAGACGGCGTTCCACTGGGTTACAAAAATTCTTCATTCCACCGCGTAATCAAAGATTTCATGATCCAAGGAGGAGATTTTGTTAATGTACGTGAACCGTTTAGCAGGTAATTTTTTTTATTAATTAAGCACTTTATTGCTTTGATTATGTATGGGGATGATTTATTTAATGTGCCATAAAGTAACAGTTGCGTGAAACGTGTTGTCCCCTAATAACCGAGTTTGTATTTTTTCCTTTTAGTTGTTTCTCAGGATATAGCATGTTTAGCTGCCAGTCTTAGTTTGTTGCAAGTTTACAAGCCACAGATATGGTTTCTTAGCTAGAAGACGTTTTAGAACTTATTTCTTTGACCGTCTTTAAGGCAAGGTGATTCGAATTTGGTTGTTGCTAGATTGCGTAAGATAGTAGCAGTTGTAAGACTTCAAGCCATGATAACGTTTTCTCTTTCCATGCCAAATTGTATTAAGCGCAGTAAAGTGCAACAGGAAATCAACCACCGTACTCTGAAGAGCAAATCTTTGTAAATTCATGTCAGTGTTCAGCGCCAGTCGATTTAAAGAAGTGGTCCGCCTTGCCCTGCTGACAGTCAGTGTCGTTCTTGTCTTAAGCGTCGCCATGTGAATCAAGGCTTTCGTCGTTGAACTTGAATGAATAAGAGCACTCCTTAGTTCCTTTATGCATTTGGAAAACTCCTTGAGATACAGATGGGAACTTTAATGTTTGTTTACCATGGAATATCATGGTTTTGATCTTCGTTAAATAATATCATGCATTGTATACGATTGTTTGCCCTGATGTTGGTTGTTCCTAACGTTGAAAGTAAGAATCAAGACTTTATCATCAACCGTATGCACTATGTCTATATCCATCAAATCGGTAACACTTGTTAGAACCATGTGTTGTGCTGTTTTTCAATACGACTAACTCACCATTACCTCTCATCTTTAGGGTGATGGAACCGGCATGATGAGCATTTATGGCGAGAAGTTTCCGGACGAATGCTTCGAATTAAAGCACAGTGGACCTGGAATGCTCTCTATGGTATTATATTGCATTTATGATATTTACCATGGTTCAGCGGTGTATTTCAATTATCCTCTAAAATTTTACTGCTTTTCAATATCGCTGAAGAAGTGACGCACGTCCTCAGTAATCAATGCCATGAAGGCTTGTCATGATTTGGAAATGACTAAATGCTGAAAGTAGTGAATCACACGATAGAGTGAAGTACCGAGAATTCTGTTTCCATCAATCGTTAAGGTCTTTAAGAGCATATCTTATGTCCTTAGTCTTTACGCTGACAGGGCACTAGTAGAGTAGCGACTTCGTCTTCCTTACTTTTTGGGACAAGCCTGTCTATGCGAACGGTTCCGTAATTACAAACGTGAATGGAAGGATGGAAATCATCACTGGCGTTCATCTCCAGCAAACCTTCTATATAATGACCCGGGTAAAAAAGTCGATGGAATTACGATGTCGCTACAATGATCGTGACTTCTGTTTCAAGCGCAGTCGGGGTAGTTTCCTTTGACCTTTCAGAGGTACGTTGAAAGAGTGCGTGGGAATGTAAGTTGTAGTAGTCAGCTAATTTTAAATTATGCCTTTACGGTATGCATTCGTAATCGATGGTGTCAGAATGGAATTTTTTGCTCCTCACCATAAGTTCCATGGATGACAGATGCGAAATCGCGTTCAGAGTTAGCATAGAATCCTTTATGAGGTGACTCCACATGTTGAATTTATCATGTACATATTCTAAAACGTATTGGATCGTGCTTGATCTGTCATCAGAAAGTGAAATCATATAAAATAAAAAATGCCGTTCGTCATAGAAGACGATGCCCTTATGTTTATAAACTTGCAGACTTTTCTTTGTAAACTTAATCAGCTTGTTTGTTTCGTGCTGTTAACCATAAAATCAGACGACTTCTCTCATTCTACATATTTGTAAAATATGTTGCATGTTTTATACTTATTTGTTAGATTCTTGCCTTCGCAGTTTATTTTTGCACTGTCTGGTTAACTGCTGAAAACATTTTCATCTTTTTAATATAAGATAGATAAGTACAGAAAAGTGGTACAAAATCTGAAGTGCTTGCTGCTCATATCTGCCTTCCAGTCAAATGATGAAATCAGGAGATTGTCTTCGGCAGCGCAGTATTTCTTGCGCTCAGTTTATTTTCAGACTTTGATCACTAACAAATTAAAGATCTTTGCTGTCATACGCTGGCTGTTGCAAATGATATTAGAATTTTCAGTAATCAGGTTTCAAAGTGGATATCTTTGTAAATTGATATTTATGAATATTGTCCATTTGCTGCTAATTGCACCTGTTATAAATTGCCCTTGCTTCAGATCATTTTGATGCTAATTGCATGGAGTAATCAGGGTTTTGTATGACAGTGAATTGTAAGCGGAGTTGGGAAATGAGCAATACGTAAATACTGCTCTATAAAATATCTCTTGCAGGATTGTTTTATTTCAGTACAAGTATGGCTTCTTGTTTATTTCTTTGTTTTAGTTATTTAATTAAATTCAGAGCTTTCATGATGATCATTTAATAGGCAAATGCTGGAAAAGATACGAATGGTTGTCAATTTTTTATCACTTGTGCGAAGTGTGAATTCCTAGATGGAAAGCACGTAGTTTTTGGTACGTATCGTACAATTCTTATTCGGTGTGAGTTTTTTATGTCCGTCTCCAGGGTTATATTGGATCACATGTCTCCGGTTGAGTCTCATATTTTCTTTAATGTATATGGTGGAATGTGGAGCAGTTATTTTTGAATCAGAGTGCCAACGAATTCTAGTTTATGCAAAATCCCCGTACAATAAAATGGATGTTGAAAATTAACATAAAGTAGCGCAAAATATGAATTATGATCGAAAATGCATGAAAAATTTTGTTAGTTAATCTGCCTTTCAGAACCTGCTAGAAAAGAAGGAAGGAATGCTTTTAACCCGTTGGAATATGGGCTATCCTTACACTTTTATGATTGGGCCAATTCTGGCGCCTTTTTTATTAAGATACTGGTGGGGCTTTGATCCCTGTTGCCATGCTATCAGCCAGTAATGCCTTATTTTAAACACAAAGTCGGCAGCATCTAGGTGGCAAGCAGTATGTGGTCTCTTGTTTCCTTCCAACAGTGTGGTACTCACTTGTTAACCTCTGAAGGAATAAAGGTGAGTGACCCGGGATCTCTCAGTTCTGAGCCAGATGCTTTACCGACTGGTGAGGCGCAGCTTCGGTGAATATCTGGTCCTTCTTACTTCGCGTATCATATGGAAACTTATTAAAATTTGAACGATCCGGCAGCATCAAGATGTTTCAAACCTTTTTCTTTGTATCTTGCATGCAGCGACGTTTTGATACATGCAGCCTCTTGATTCTAAACGTAGGAGTTGCATTATTCTGGCGATGGCCCCACACTCATGTTGACATCATTGTATTTATAGTCTCCTGCCATAATTATTGACTACTTTATTTCAAGGTCGCGTTGTGGACGGGCTTCTTGTGGTGAGAAAGATCGAAAATGTGCCCACCGGACCAAACAATAAACCCAAGCTACCGATCGTCATTTCTGAATGCGGCGAACTATAGTTTTGTATGGTAATCTGTACATTAGTCAATAAACATTTTGCCTTGCCTTCCGTTGCCTCGTTCTGCCTACACTGCAATACTCGTTTAGTGATCTTTTGTATTCTATTGACGTTCATCGCTGCTGTTGCAGAGTTTTGCAGTTCATTGTGTTATTGGTTTTAGATGCACTCATGATTCTGTAAGAAGAAAATATGAGTCATTGTCTTTGTCAAACTCTGGTCAGATGAAAGGTATCAAGGCGAAGATCGTTCTTCTGGGCGACAGTGCCGTTGGTAAGACATCGATAGCTCTTCGTTATGTATCGAACAAGTTCGAGGCAAAGCACCTTTCTACGATGCAGGTTTCTTGCTATTTTGAATTAAAGAGATTAAGGTTTCTTTTCCAGGCTGCTTTTTTCTCAAAAATTATTACCGTTCAACAAACGCAGGTAGAGTTGGCGATATGGGTAAGAGGTTACTCATACCGTCAGACCTAGTAGCAACACTGCTTTTAGGATACGGCAGGCCAAGAAAGATTCCATGCCCTTGGACCAATTTATTACCGTGATTGTCAAGGGGCTATTCTGGTATATGACATTACCGACGAGCGTTCATTTGATAAGGTAAACAGTCATCTTTATTAACACAGATATTTATGGAGTACTATAATAATAAAATAGCATAAATATAATTTAACTTTAAACAGCGAATAATTGATTGCTGTCGCCATTGCGGCCTGTATGTACAGTGGCGAAGCTGTTATTCACTCGCTGACATAATTTGAAAGTCTGTCATGCATTCAGAGGAAATCCGCTGTGTTTGATGATCTAAGTAACTGAATCTATCTACTAGAAAAATATGTCAAGAGAAGTTAGCCAGAAATTAGAGATCATCATGTGTGTTATTTACAGAATATAGTTTGAGGGCGTCTTTTCGCCATACCATCTAAATTCTGCCCAGTTGATTATATATGCATCGTAATGTATCGTTAGAGAATGAATGTCTAGACTGTAGTGAAGAGGCTAGCAAACTCTTAATACACTGGTTCACTACAAGCGTCTTGCAATAAATAGACGGAATGTCATTTTCTCCGTTCTCATGAAACACGTTATGAAGCTCTTCTAATCTTTATTTTTGGATTGGCTATCAATGTATCTCTCTCCATTGCAGCTTTCTCTGAAAGTTTTTAGAAGATCTGTCGACATCTTAAAAGATAATAATGCCGTGTATTTTTAATTAAATTAATATTCACCTCGTCCGTTAATGCTTGCAGGTAAAGCAGTGGGTCAGAGAATTGCTCAGAATCGTTGGACCTGACGTACAACTGGCGATCGTCGGAAATAAAACTGACCTCACTAAATCGAGAACTGTCTCTGACGAGGTAGGTGAGGCGTTCGCCAAAAGTGTCAACGCCTCCTTCCATCTCACTTCTGCCAAGACGAACGACGGAATTGGCTCCTTGTTTCAGGAATTGACAGAAAGTATGTTTTAAATTTTGTTTCAGTTTCATTTTATAATCCACTTGTATTTCTTCTTTGCTCGTATTCAGGTACGACGATAACTGATAAATTTCTTGAGGTCGACTCGATGAGTTTACAGATTGTGATTTTGTAGATTTAATCCGTTGTGAACTTATTTTATTTGCACAGTGGTGTGAAATGTTGTCGTTTCACCTAGTTGCATTGGTTCCTTAGTAAATGATCTTCCCCTGTGATTTTCATAGGCTGACTTCAAATCAGTGGAATCTCGAACTGCCCTTTTCGATGGGGCCTGACGAATAGTTAGTAAATGCGGGAAGTCGAAAAATTTGAAAAACATGAGTAAAGAAAGCTGATTATCCGACTTCTAATTTATGTGATGAATAATTTTTTATTCTAGATTTTGAACAGGGGTATCAGCGATATTGAATTTGCTGTTACATAAGAAAATTAGTACGCTGTCCCATATTTACAGGTAATCTGTTCCGTGGATCGCGCTACTTTTAGTTAACTCCCGGAAAATGGTTCTCAGTTATTCTGAAAAAGTTAAGGTGGATAATTGATAGGAGACCGTTCAAATCAATCTGGCTTTGTGACAGGTTATGATCGTTCTGATTCTGTATTTACTTTGCTCAGTCAAAGTTATTAGTTATTTCAGTTGCCTCTGTATGCTACTATCCTTGACTTTATGGCCGTTTTTGATTCAATACATTCAATGGGATGAATGATTTTAATATGTTATGGAATGCGTGACGTTTCGTTTCCATTTTGTAATAGATCTATTCAGGAGCCATTCTGCCGTTGATGTCAAAAGAGAACTGTCTGACCGTTTTGCTGTTAACTGTGGAGTTCGTCAGGGAGATGTTGTTTCGCTTCTGCTACTCCACATTGTTTTCGATCTTTTCCCTAAAACGTTAACTGTCCCGACAACGATTAGGGACCAATTCTACTGGGAGTCGAATTCAAGGTATTCTCAAGAGAATCTAGCGATGGTATTGAATCAGAGCTCCTAAACTGTTATCGCATTTGGATAGCGAAAATTCGGTTATTGTTTATGTTTGGTTAGTACGAAATCAGGAAGCGTGTGGTCACTGTTGAATCCGGAACAAGTTCCGCAGATGTGTAACATTTTAATATGGCAAAGCATCTGTGGAGTAGTTCAAACTTCACGTCGACCTCTTGTTTAAATGAACGTCTTTGATTGGTACAGGGGTTGTGCCTTCGGTTGAGAGGTGTCGATGTGTCAGGGTGGAAAGTTTAATATAATATAATAAATTGAATGATGCCAGATTTTAATAATTCTCACGAATCTCGTTTGAAATTAGTTGAAAACTTTAAGCCAAGATTAAGGAAGCTTGCTTCTTCCTTGGTTGGGGTAGTGCAGCTAAGGCTGAGGACGAACATCTTCACGTGATGAATGGTAGCCATATCTGATGTGATTCTGTTAATTCTCGTGATCTTCGTCAAACGATTGCCTTGGTTTCCTCCTTTTGCCTTACCCTTTGGTAACTTTCTTTGGAAGACACTGTTACTCTTAAACATTAGTAAGTGGAAATGTTTAAGTAGTAAACATTTTTTGTCGCATTCGATTAGACTGCCATTCGTTTAAAACCATCGCATCGAAAAGATTATCAGTTTATCAAGTGCGTGGCACAGAATATGAATATGAATTTAAGAAGTGAAGTCGTACTGACATAAAATCTGATTTGGTTATTTGTTAATTACAGTACAAAGATTTTATCTTATCCTAGAATCTATAAGTTTATTGTCTCTTTAAGAACATTGACGAACGTCGTTGCACTCCCGCTATCTTCTGATTTAAATTTGTGGTAATCTCGCGATAGTTGTGTAAGGAGTGCTGTATTGAAGGGATCGTTGGAGTGATGGAGAACAAAGGACATACGGAGAGAATTTCGACTAGGCGAGGTCGGAACATTTTGCTGGTAGATGACGAGTCACCTACAGAATCAAAGGTTCAGCATTGTGCCTGCTGATCACTTGTTTCCAGCGTAGTATAATGACATGGTTCCATTGTGATGTTCTGTTTCGTGTTCCCCAATTTTTTGAAGACTCAAACACGTTGCAGTTTGTTATCCAGTGTATTAGATGTGGAAACGCTTGTTTTTCCTAAATAGCTATACGACTTGTTAGTTGTTTTTGACTGTTACGGAGAATATTGCTACACAATTAATGTTCGTTTATATTTCTATTGCGTTTGTCCTTGCGTTTCATGGACGATGTCATATAATGGAAACGATTAACGATATTGCTCGCGATCCTTCATCGACTATGATCGTACTTCATTAAAATGCCACTCTCGTACTTCATTAAAATGCCACTCTCCACTATCTCTACTGGGCTAAACGAATCATCACTTCTAGAAGATTCCAAACTCGCTATTTGTTTCCTTCATGCTGATTTACTGATTATGCTTATTTATCGAATTTTTTTAATACTACTTCATTTAAATATTGGAATTTATTGAATAAAAGTCACAAATGATCCTTCAACGAAGTGAAGTTACAGATTTCCGCATCTTGTTCCATTGATGTGTATTTCAGTTAAACAATAAACTCTAGTCGTCTAGTTGTTCATCGAACAAATCATTTATTACATTTTGCAAAACTAACTGCTTTTAATCATAAAACAATCTCCTGCAGTAGTTAAGATAGACAGTTTAGCTTGAAGTGGTTGCTAGAAAACAAAAAAGTATGAGCTATAAATGTCTATTTGTTGGTTTCTCTTGGAAAATTTCTAACGTCTATCTATTTTAATTGAACAGAAGCGCAAATCAAAAACATAGTAAATCACTAGTTGCAGACAAAAAGGGTTCAAAAGTCTTTATATTTTATTTGCATACGACATATAGGGCAAGAACCATGAAATTCAAATATATAAACGATTAAAGCCAACTGGAACGTCACTAACGATTAAAGAATGCAAATATCCTTTTCCATTGGCGGGATACTGGGACCGTCGAATAAATCTGACTTTACTGTGCTAAAGCCTCTAAGAAGTTAAAGAATATTGAAATTACGCACCTTAATACTTATACTAATGTTGTTACATACTTTCGTTAATCTATTTGTAACTGTTCTTTAAGTTTTTTTATGCTGCCCATTTCCTGTGGTACTACAGAGGCTTCAGAAACGTGAAAGCGCAATACTGCCAAATCGAACCTGTTCTCAGCTTAACTTTTACCTCTCTAATAACTCCTAGTGTGGGTTTGCTCTGGAAATGGTTCATTTTCTCAACAAACGAAAATCTGGCTATAGCAATGACAACCAACCAATTTTCGAACACATTCTGCTGCTTTAGTCGTACCTTATACAATCGATACAGAATTATATTAGCGATCGACTGGTTCTTATATTCATATAGGTTTGATTAGACTGACATGAACATTCGCTGAAATTCCTCGAAATCAAGCCATATTCAGGATTCGCTGTCTTTCCCGAGAACGGAAATGGACTCTGCGAACTCTCACTGCTTGAATGACTGAGCGGATTATTAAAACAAACATCCATCAATTATCAATCAACTGCGCTAGCCTTCATGAAAATAGCACTGAAACTAGCAGATTAAATCCTTGAGTGCCTTACCACTATTCCAGAAGCTCGTTTCGTTCTCAATAAGTCAATTAATCAGTTGCTTCTTTTGGCCTGATAGCGTATTTATTGATAACATTAGCAAAGAAAGGTTGCATTTATTATTTCACTGCCCCCCCCCGGACTAGGATAACTCAAGTTTTTGAGGGCAGCGAAGTTCTTCAACAATATCATGTGAACCTGCGCTAGAAAAAATAGATATTAAATAGGATTCTATTTAACAAGAAAAGACGAGGCAAACCTCTTGTTTACTGAAATTTATGATGTTCACATCTTTTACTTCTGTCGAGTCGGTCTACAGGTGAGCATGATGTCACACTGGAATGTCAAAATGTTTCAGCAAGGTGATGGTCTCTAGGCCGGTGTCCTAATATCAGTTATCCTGCCATAGCACTTCCGAACGGGAGATGATTCAGAAGTAACAACTTATCGTTTGGCCATCATATTCACACCAAATATATTTTAACAGTAAATAAATATGCCATACGGGGACGGAAAGTTCACAAAGATGGTGTAAGCCAATTATGGCGTGGTAGTTTCTTCGACCGTATGCAAATCTTACACAAAGGATATATTCCACTAAAACACCAGAGCAACCCTTGGTGGTGTGAATACCACTGGCCTTCCAAAGGGGCTCGAAAATGAAAGTGCGTCGCAAACAACAGCAAAATAAATGCCAGAAAACTGGTCAAAGAACGAATGCAGAAAGCACAACAAAGTTTTGACTCAATATATGGAGCCACTGTTTTTTCCACTGATCATCGCCTGTTGTCATGAGATTTTCGACTTAGAAGAACGAGTAGCTGATAATGATACGATGCCACAATATATCCAGAATATTGCATAGGCGATCCAGACAATAAAATAAAAATTTGTATAAGCCTAAAAGTACAGTTAGTAATCAAGCTAGGAATTAGTCGTTGATAAAGAAGTACCTGCCACCATCGGTCGAACGTCAGCAACGCGAAAGCTAGAAACCCAAAAGCACAAGAAACCAGTACAATCATTTTCTTCAGGCACCACACTGGAAAGAACATGTATGGACTGCTAAGAGCTGCGTTTACTTTAGGATAATTCCCAAGAATACTAGGCATCTATGAAAAGAAAACAACAGTGAAAACGTGCAAAATACAATTTTTTGCATAACTTAGGTAACTGGTGCATGACATCACCAAAGCCATATTTCACGGAAAACTGCACATGCCTTTTGTTCCTAATTACATATCGGTCGTCTCAGCAAAAGTGGTATTTGAATACCTGCAGCGATGGATGCATATGGTACTTCCCTGCAAGTCATTAGCTAGCGCGTCTGTCGCCACTCACAATACAAAATGGGCTGTAATTGGAGCAGTGAATTTATAATTTGCCCCGCACATACTTCGATCTATCTTTTCAACCTACATTGT